ATAAAAACGCTCGACATGAAAGGGCATTTAAAATAGCTCCATCGCTTCCAATCTTTTTACGTTACTTTGCAAATACTAAGCTGTCCGGGCATTTTTATTCAAAGCAATATTTTTAATAACAATATTGAAACATAAAAAACGTATATTTTTTAATTAAACTACAAAGGACACGATAATTTATCATCAATTATGATAATTTCTACTTATAACGTACAATTTTACCTTTACATTTATAAAAATTAAAATTAAAAAAAAATAACAGTTTATATCGTACCAATATTATAAATGCGCAAGTCTAGATGGGTGGATGTTTGTTAGAAGATGTCCCTAAAACAGCTTAACAGATCTCGCTGAAAGGCATAGATGTAGAACATAATCTGGAAGATCAAATGGGCTACTAATTAGATTATTTTTTATTTTCTCACAGACGGAGTCTCGGGCGAAATTAACAATGTATGTCAATGGGCTAACCGTGGGTTTTTGAGTCCAAAATATCCGTTTTAAACATATTGTTATCTCTGTATTGTCTAAGATAATGGTAGAGATGCCGATATATTTTATAAAGAGGTTTTGGTTTCCGAAAAAGTCAAGTGAAGAAGCCTTTAGTGTTATTTCGAAAACAAAATTGATGTTAAAAAACTTGACGTAAATCGAAAATTTTGTCGACGAAAAGCTTAATCTCTTCGTGTACCGATATCATATTGTATTAAGCTTTAAAAGGGAAAACGGTTCATTTTATTTTAATTGTAGGAAAAATTATATCAAAATAAAGATAAAAGTATTTATCGTTTTAAAGATATATAAATAGATAATTCAATCTTCATGTAGAATTGTTAGCGTATTGTAAATATTAAATGTACTTAAACTTTACTTTGATTTAAGTTGTAATGTCTGTGTAACCTCAAAGCCCGAAGCTCTGTCTAAATGTTCTTTTGATTGTGCTTTTAGTTTGCTTAAATAGCAAAACATAATATGCCGAATATTAAGTGAATTGTAGTATTAAGAAATTAATTTTCAAATTAATTAAATTCATACTTTACATAGCCAATCCATGCTTGAATACATTCATATTTATTTTGATCTCAAACAAACAATTTAACGTAACAAAGAGCGCTAATTTCACCTTAAAATAAACTAAAAATAATACGATAATCTCTATTTTAACTATAAAGAATACTAAATTATATAAATAATTGGTTGTCAACCGCGACCTCGTTCGCGCAGATTTAAAAAAACTTATAAGCCTATGTGTTCTTCCAGACTATAATCACATCTACGCCAAATTACAGAGTTCCCATGCAGCTGTTGTGGCAACACTTTCTTAAAACATCCATCCATACTATGGGTGCTTTTGTATAAATATACACAGAAAAGGAGTACAATAGTTTGTTGAAGTTAACATAGGGTTGATCCTTATGTTGAACTTTAACTTCAACCGTGGATAATGATGTAGGCGGTATTTAGGTATGTAGCTAAATAGCTATGAGCAAATGTGTCGTGGGCAAGCAATATTGCGGTTTGGAGGCAACAGTATTTACTTCTCTATAAAGTGTAACCACGTATATTTTAGAATATAAACTCTAATGCGGTATAGCTCACTTTGAGCTACGTTATATCCACGCTTTTGATGTTTTCCTGGTACTTCGCAACTCAAGCAATCTATTCATTTCGACAAAGGGGGTTAAGGTTTCTAATTAGCCTTAGTTCCTCAGTTAGAACTTAAGTTATGCTTTCCTCGTAGTTTCATTATGAGCAATTACCTTGTGATATGAAAGCTGGGATTTAAGCTTTGATTCTTTGCTCTCCTAGTACTTCGTTTAAGTACAAGATGCTGTTGATATTAATTAATTAAGAAGTTCAAAGTGGTTTGCGGTAACTCTGATTTGTGGTTGTATTGCCACATTTGATTACAATTAAATGTCTTAAAATAATTTTATTAAAAGTCACTTTAAAATTTTACATCATTATAAGTATCTTGCATCACACGATGTCTCTCGGGGGAAAAATAAAAGAAGGCTTAAAATAAATTAATAAATAAGTTAATAAAAATAATCTTCCATATTCTTTTGAATTCAGGACACGTCACTATTTATTTGAAATACATTCATAAACACCGAAAATAAACTCATCTTGTCATATAAATCTTATTGAATGAAATACAAAAACAATATCATGTTTTTCCTGTCAACAAATCATTTCCATATCAATATTTCCATTGAACACGATGGTCTTTGAAAACCGAACACATGGCGGAGTATTGTTCAAGTTTAAGGGAAATTTCCTATGAGGAAAGTTCGGGAATAAATATTAAAGAAAGTACAAAGTCAACATCTGTTCTATAGATATTAGAAAATATATGATGAAATAAGGAAATAAAAGTAAAGGATTATAAAAAAATAATAAGATAAAATTATTGACTTATAAGAGGTTCTTGTTTTGTTTATTTGAAGGCCTTCTAATGTTATATTGTTTAGTGGCTTTAGAAACCTAACACTAATGACGGGTTAGAAAAAATGCATTCGCTTTGAAGCGGTTAAATAGCGAACTTCAAAAATGTATAGAACTGACGCGCAACAATCCCGGTATGTAATCGCTTTGGAGCGAATGCACTTTGTCTAAGCGTCCTGTTTAGAGTTGAATTCTGTATTCGATTTATCCATGCCTACATCATAATCTTTTTCATAGTAAGTGTTTGAACATTTTATTTGTTAATAATAAAACGGCATTTATTAAGAATTCGGATTTTAATGGTCGAAAAATACAACAGTTTACAAAAATAATAACATTAAAGCTTATAATATTATATTAAAATTAACATCGAGAATATTTACATGACTTTTATTTACCCCATTAATTATAATATCTAAGATAAATAATGAATGGGTAATTATACCTATAGATAGGGTAAGCTTTCGTAACAATTTAACAAACATTTTCAGAAGATTTTAGAATAAAATCGTTTAATTGATTTAAATAATACGTAAAAAATAACACAATTAATTTTATAATTAACTAGCTGTCGCCCGCGACTCCGTCCGCGCGTTAAATAAAAATAAAACTATTGGTCACAGCGTAATGTTATATAGCCTAAAACCTTCCTCAATAAATGGACTATCCAACAAAAAAATATTTTTTCAAATCGGACTAGTAGTTCCTGAGATTAGCGCGTTTAAACAAACAAACAAACTCTTCCACTTTATAATATTAGTACAGGTTAACATATTAAAAAACAAAATTTATTTTCATTACATCCTACCTAAATGCCATTTCGTTTGGATACGACGTGCAAGAGTTGCAAACATTGTGCTCCAAACCTTGTATCATATTTATATTTATAAATTGATGAATTAAACTTGATTATTCACAACTTACTTAAATTCCGTTTACATATATAAACATATTTAAAAAATCAATTAATTACAATTAGATATATTCGAAAAAATCCTTATAAATATTATAAGACATAAAAAGAAAATTATCATCGTAAAGTTACTAAGTATCTATTCGATTTCTGATTCCAATTTTAATTAAAATAATTATTTTTAAAAACTTTACAAATAGAGCTTTATCGTGTTCAATTAATCAACGTAATTATTAAAATTAAATAACAATTTTATAATTATACACATTTATTAAAACATAACAATGAAATTAATTTTATACATTTATATTTCATAATCACAATTAGTATAAAATACTAAAAACAACAACCTTGTCACAGTAAGCGCGATTGTAAAAAAGCAAATTATTTTTGAGCAAATAAACCTTATTTTTACAGTAATAGGAATTATTACATTAAAAAAGCCCTTTGGTACTAAACATTGATGAATTCTTTGATATAATTTAAATAACATAATTATTTATTTATTATAATCGTCGGTTTCCACAGACTTTTCAAAGTGACAGTGAAAACCCACGATAAAGAAAAAACTATATAATTGACACATATTTACAAATTCATTTGTCGTGGGTTTCTGAGATCAATACCCATATAAAACATATTATCGTCATCTCACAGAGATAACAATATATTTTAAATGGGGATTTAAATCTCAGAAACTCAACACTCGTACTTAATGCGTTAATCAACATTTGATTATAAAGGTTTCACCTTAATTCTAATTTCATGAATAAAATATTGTTAACAATACGATGAACACGAGTTCCATTCACCATGTTTTATTAAATTAACTAATTTTTTATTATATATAATTTATTAATTTCGTTTAATTATAATATTAAAATTAATATTATTATATTAAATATTAATTTTATATTCATATTAAAGTGTAGTTTATTATCTACACGAATTAACGTATATAAGCTGAGCATTAATTTTAAAAAATCTTATTAACATACAAGAATTATTTTATAATCGGTTACGGTTTTAAAATATGTTATTTACACTTTCCGACCGTGGATGTAGGCTGTAACAAAAGATTGTAAGTAAAACATTTTGTCCGTTATACAAAATTCTATATGAACAAAATGTCGACAAAAAGAAATGGGCGACCACAAAAAAGGCAGGCGCATTCAAACAATTATTCCATATTTAACATTTCGTCAAGGCTCAAACTTACAGTCCCTGCTTTCCATACTTTCGTTACAACATTACGTAATTTTAACAGCGCCGAGTTTCCAGGAGAGGAAACCACGTCAGTGAATTTTCGGTGTCGTATAACAGTGCGAGTGTCGGTGGTTAAGGGGTTAAGCAATTGACTTGCAATCTTTAGGTCCAGAGTTCGAATCCTGCCATGTACCAATGTGTTTTTCTATTTCTGATATACATATGTACATTTAACCGACGTTCTTACGGTGAATGAAAACATCGTGATGCAACCTGCACATGTAAAGAAATTCAATGATATGTGTCAAGTCAACCAAACCACACTGGGCGAGGTTCACTATGGCTAACTAAGTTTAAGCTTCGAACCTCTCGGTGGAGACGTACAGTTATGGTGTTGATAATTTTAATAGTAGTGTCTTACCGTCGTAGTATGTCCGGTGCGGACAGCGAGGGCAGGGGGGGCAGCTAGCAAGCGAATTCTGTCTCTGCGAGCGCGGGCCTGGGGGCTGCCGACACCACGACCGCTGCCATACGACCGCTGTACTTCCTCTTGATTCGTTGTGTTCCTCTATACCTGTACAATCGAACACTTCACGGGAATTACTTCGGTTGTACTTTCACTGAAGTAATTCCTTGCTAATCATATGAAATTATTGGCATGATTGAAATGTTACTATAGCAGTGCCAATTTAATAAATGTGGTCTTTTTTTCTACGCTGTAGAAGTTCCTTGCGACCACTAATTATTTGAATAAGTTATGTAATCATTATTTGAAAAAAGTTCTAACATCAAAAAATAAATAACATTTTATTCCCGTCGTTACAAACTTTTTGAATTTTGATGTTGTGTAGTGCCAACAACAAAAAACAGTAAACTTTAAAAAATGTCCCAATAATAATTCATTCCAATATTAGGCGCAGTGTTAATTATCTTAGCTAAAAATAAATCAAAATAACTTCATATCTACGTAATATAGTATTCATGTTAACTTTTGTGAATTTGATACGTAACAAATGCGATCCGCATCAATTTGAAACCATCCGGAAAATATAAAAAACGCATTTGAATTTTTTTGTGCACCGTAATCGTGTTGTATTGCGTCACGTCAACTCGCTAACCTAGGTCAAGACTTTAGGGATTATTAAGTTAACTAACGTTGCATGTTGACATAGTTAACGCTTAGCTTATCTTTGCTAACTCTTACAAACTGGATGTGAGAAGAGGTTGAAGCTTGAAGCGTAAACTTGTAGTGTGGGGGCATAATGCTTGTAGGTTTAATTCACAAAGACGAATACGCTATACATATATTTAAAATGCATACAATCAAGCTATTGTGTGTGAAAAAACAAAAGCCAACAAAAACCGTATTTTTATGTCTCTAATTCACTTTGACACAGACAACTATTCTTTAACTCGTTAGTTAATACCTTCTTAAGTTAGCAATTTACAAGTTACAAGTGCAATAATTAGTTTTAACTTTCAGGTTTTTAGTAGATAGTATAATCGTAGAATATTCAACCAACAAAATAAATGTCGTATACCTTGTAATATTAATTGTAACCTAAGTCTATTTGGCAACTCGAATAGCGTTGGATTTACTGACCAAATCTCAATTTATTAGTTGTATCCTTTTCCGTCGTAGTTTCGTAACTCGAGAAGATCCTCGGGTACAAGGATAACGTCTCATTTTCTTAGATTGAGTTAAGCTAATACTATAACAAGTTTTAAAGCGTAGTTTATAAAACTGCCGTCTGCCGTGACTTGGTTCTCGTGAAATTTAAAAAAATATCTATATACTATTTCAGACTGTTTTACTTCTCTTTTCCAAATTTCATCGAAATCTGTTAAGGCATTTTGAACTTACTTCGTTAATTTAATGCTTAAGATAAGCATTTGCATTTTTGTCTTAATATTATATGTGAATATGTGAATGATTTCGTTTATCACTTTGAATAATAATTACGTTAACGAGTAAAAACCTGATCGGGATCGACTGCCCGACTGCGAGACGTAGTCCGGTGGGGAGTCGGGCAGCGGCCGCTTGCGTCTGAAACACGTGTCCCGCCATCTGCACAGAATCGCTGTGCGAAAATATGATCGGAACCTGGTGGGAAAGCAAAATAATTACACAATAATAATTAAAAACGATATTCCCGACCGATTGTATTATACCTATTGTATTGTACATAGAGAAATAAAAATCAAATGACACCTCAATCTTTTCAATTTGTCTTTTTATTATATCAAGTGGCAAACGAGCGTAGCCTTTCTTTAATCCACGAAGGAGGAGCCGCACAGAAACAGAATGATTCCCTTTCATATGCGGGGGGCGCATCTCCGCAGTAAAATCCATTTCCCCTTTCCATCCTAGTAGACTGCAAAGATCGTGCCAAAACGTTGAGTAAGTTTATTTTCTCGGTGAAATGTCCTTTGACGCTCACGATGCAATTAAATAGCAAACTTGTCAAAGCAGCATGCAAACGTGTTTAATTATAGCTCTTATGTTGACTGTTATACGATATTCGACCCTTGATGGGATGTACATTTAATTCCTTAACTATAATACACACTCGTGAACGATACCTATTACTAAAGGTTCTTTTGTTTAAAAACTTAGGAAGCAAATAAAAGAATTAATAATCACTTACTTGGCGTTCATCCAATAGTAAATGATGGGGTTAACCATCGCATTTGCCATTGCTAACCAGTAAAAGCCGAGGTACATATGTTGAACATACTTCATGTATAATATGGAAGGATTGAAGTGGGTGTAAATAAAGTACGAGTGGTATGGCAGCCAGCATATTCCGAATATGATGATCACCAGGATAAACATTTTAACAACCTGTAGAAAGACAATTGTTATAGACCAAAGCAGCTCTGAGTAAAATTATATAAATTATTCAATTGTAACAAGAATCATTGTCGTGTTACTTTCGTCGTCGTTTCATGTCAAAAAATAAAGTTTAGCGAACCTTAGTTAAGAATTAACATTTATTTTAACACTTAATTTTGGAATTAACAACTTTAGTAACTTACTAGATAAATATGTACAAAAACAGTGTGTACCAGCAGTAGAAAATCATTATAAACAGTTTGTACCTTCCGTTTTGACTGTATCGAGTCCAACTGTCGTTGGGTTAGTTCACCGATGGACCGCGAACCCCATAATACGCGGCCCATTGCCGAGTAAAAGAACGTCATACCAAGCATTGGTACCGCATACGTCACCACGAAGAATAAAACTTGATATCTAAACAAATGTAATCGTGATGATTTCTGACTGCAAATTAACCTTTTAATTGTTTAATGTAGTTGATGTATTTAACCTCTTTTCTACACAAGGAGTTTACATGCTACCAAAAAAGGTACTGGCCACCTAAAATTTTGTATTTTCAATGAAGTAAAAAAATATCAGGGAAAATTAAATGAGAATTGCGCGGGAATTTGAGTATCGTCTGTCATGAGTTAACATTAATTAAAGCGTATAAATATCGGAACTGTTACAGTGACATTCATTACCAATTTAATATCAATTTGCATAACATTGTCGATTTCAACTCAATCATGTAACGCAGCTAAAGTAAACATCGTTGATTTTGTTTGTAAGTACCTATTTACATATTTGTATATCGGCATAATTAAATAGACTTTAGCGATTAATCAATGTCCAAATTCTCTGCTTACTTGATCACAACAAAATTGGCACGCTACTATTTGTATTAATTACGAACCAAACTCCCGCGGCGTTACGATGTAACTGAAAGTCGTATTAACACTCATTTGTTTTATGAGACATTAATTATCCTGACACTTGTCTCTTTCTTATCAACGAAAATGAAAGAGAAGAAAATACTAAAATATACCCAGTACCAAAAACGTATCCCACCGTTGTAGTTATTGTTATTCATACCAGTAAACCATACTAAGTGCCCGGAGATAATTTTGGAGGACTAAACGCTTATGTTTAGAGGTGACAAAACTACTTACATAAAATCCATATACGAGACATCAGGTAACCCATCAGGCCAGGATAGTAAACAGGCGGTTTTCAAAGTTCCTTTTGACCTACGGAAAAATTGTATACAATATTGACAAAATTATAATACATTACTTTAAAAACTATAATATAATGAACTCTAAACTTAATCATCCGAGACTCGATTTTTATTTCATTTTGAATTATTACTCATCGAAATTTTGATACGTTTATAACCTAAAGTCACTCTACATCATGACTAGTAATTATCGATTAAAAGCCATCAATGACCGCAAGGGTTCCTTTCCCTCGCATAATGATACCATTGCTAAATAAACGACACTCTGATTTACTTTTGATGCTTTAACTAAGTATGACTTGCTCAAAAAATATTACATGAAATTCCCTTCCGAAGTTCTCAATCGATTCTTTCAACGACAATCGATTCTTTAAACGTCAATTTTAATAATTGTTTCGATATTAATTCAACATAGATTTTAATATTAAGTGCCTTCTTACCGGTATTCCTTGGTTGTTGAATACAATAAGCATGGTATGGCAAGAAGCATCCCGCTTATCCATATCACTGCGATCATGATTAAGGAACAAGTTTTTGACATTCTGGGTCGCATTGGCCTCACGATAGCTTGATACCTGCATAAAATTTTAAACTATGAAATATTTTTTTCAACAGATACAACTTCATAAAATTCAATAATACTTCGTATTCCATTTTATAATATGTAATACGCTTACATAATTTTAAAAAATCTTTAAAATGTATGCGTACACCCACGTTGTTACCAATACTGTAAGCATTACCCTTACCTATCAAAAGAGATTCCCGTCAATGTAAACACGCTGGCAGCGACAGTGACATTAGCTATGAAGTTACTTAGCTGACAATACCGCACTCCAAACACCCAGTCACTAAACAAAACAATTATAGTTAAAAAAAAGAAATATAGCCGGATGAAAGAGGCACTGCTCTCGCGGTTACCTCTGTCCAAAAATATTTAAAACCTACCAGAGAGCATCGGTGGCTTAGGGGTTAAGCACTTGACTTATAGTCCACAGGTTCTGTATTCGAATCCCGCCGTGTATTAATATGATTTACATATGTACATGTATCCGACGTTCTTAAGGTGACCTAACCTAACCTAACTGACAACCTACACATATCTGCTAAGAAATTGAAAGATATGTGTGCAGTCAACCAACCCGTACTAGACCAGCGTATGTGCCGTAATACGAAAATATGACATGACATTTACAGTACGAAAAGGATTTTGTGACAAATTTAACGTTGTCAGGGGGGCGCTAGTGAGCGTTCATAACTAAGTTTGATTAATGCCCACTGGGTCAGATATTCTTGTTGGTATATCTACCGATTACGGTATCCAGTAAAACTAGACTGATGTGACCAACATACCTATTATAAGAACAAAAGAGAAGACAATATGTATTGATACATGTTTCGCGGCAGTTAAAACCGATTCTTACAATGGCTTTCAGTATAATACCTTCAGAGTTATCCAAACAAAACGAGCGAAAATAGAAATTTATAAATGGATTAATTCAAAGAAGGGTCCATTACGCCGAATAAATTCCACAGTTTAGAAGACATTAATTGAAAGTGACAAATATTTTGCTTTTGTTGTTTAAATTATTTGTTTACTCTACATAATTAAAACAAACTGTCATTTCCAGCTTAATTATACATTAAATTCTAGTCCAGTGCAAATGTTTTTAATTAATATGTCCAAGAAAGTGCAAAAATCTAAAGAAAAAAAAAACTGTAACCAATTAAAATATAGTGACGTGCCATTGAAAGTTTCGATTGAGTTTATCAAAAAAGACGATAGGCAATTATGTTATAATGAACCACTGGGTAACCTTATTCCGTTAATTCGATGGCTTTACGTTATACAACTCAAGTCTGTAACTACGAACGATTTTAATCAATTAGTAGCCCAGACTTTTTAAATTACTTTAAATTTTTTTCCTTTAATTCGTACGACAAAGATGTTCTTCAAAGTTATATAAAAAAAAATAAAAACTAATTTATTATTTTAAATCTGTATCAAATAAAAAAAATCTAGTAAATATGTCAACGACAAGAAATATCAATTTCAAATTTTAATTTCTATTTTACCTAATTATAATATAATAATGATGGATCGTTGAAATAACATCGTTGAAATGTTTAGTAACATTATAAAATAAATTGCATTAAATCATAATTTACCTGTGCAACATGTAGATAAAATTGAAGAGACAATTTAGAGAAGCCATCATCAGATCAGCAAAGGACAAGTTTACCAGGAAGTAGTTCGTGACTGTCCGCATTCTCCGATGAGCTGTTGCAAAAAAGTAATAAGGTTTCTATAGTAGCTGTCGCCCGAGACACCATCCGCGCGGCATTAAAAAAAACTTAATAACCTATTTGTTCTTCCAGACTATATTCTATATTTATGTCAAATTTCATCGAGATTTGAAGATACCTTCTAACAAACATTCCTCTGTCTAAATAATTTATAATAATATTATAGTAAGTAAGAAGTAAAAACTTTCCTATACAGATTCGTATCTGTTCGAACAAGTACGCTTAATATTTTGTTTTAATTCTTCTGAGAGGGTATCATTTTAATCAAATTTGGGAAACAATCTACGCCAATTGGGCGCTAAATCTGATAGAGTGAAGGCATCAAAATTATCAAGTTGTACATAACGTATAATCACGCTCATATTCTATTTTTGTGAAAGTCTTATTCATTTTCGTTTACAACTGATTCAGTAAAGCAAGCTTCGCATACCAGAGATATTAGAACTCAAATATTACCTGTAACAATCCAAATGACAATAGCATTTCCTCCGATAGCGACAGCCAGCATGGCGGCGAAGAGACATACCCATGAGTTATGCGCCCACAATGGCATCGTGACAGTGGAGGCCGGGGTAGGCGCGGCGGGCTTAGGGACAAGTATTGTGGACGCACCTAACGTACTGCGGTTGAAATCCATCTCCCATGTGTACACAACCTAAAGTATTAATAGTAAGGATAAGAGTATTAGACATCTACGGAATTAACAACATTTTTATTTACTTCCAGTATTTTTTAAAAATCTAAATATAATTTAGTGTATATGAATATTTTTGACAAATAAATTATGTTACTATGAGAATCAAGACTAACCCATGATCAAAATTAAATGAGGAATTATCTTTTTCTATAGATGAGTCCATGACAAGTAAAACAATAAGGCTAGATCAGGACCAATCGAATGTACAAACAATCCACAGATCAAAAATAATACCGAATAAAAGATCTTCAATTCTTTCAGATGTTACATGAATTTTATCTAAAACTTTATAATTGATTGAGAAACAGAATAAAATTATCAATGTCATTGTTATAAAATGATATAAATCCTGTAATTAATTACTATTAATTTCATCTAATTAAATCGCATAAAGTAAACAAACCCGCTCTTGGCCAGCGTGGTTGACTATGGCCTAATCACCCCTGACTTAGGGTAGGCCCCGAGCCCCTCGGTGGGGACGTATAGTGAGCTGACGGTGAAATCGCATAGAGTTATACTAAATATAACTTATTACCTCAACGTTCTGCATAGTTTGGTCTCTAAAGTTATGACGCGCGTAGAACTTCTCTCTTTCCAGAGTTACGTTAAGCATGTCAACCATTTTTTCTCCTTAGTCCTTCCTTTCCTCGTCTCCATCACAAAGAGACCTGTATAAACAAAATTCAACCGTTAAATTATATTAGCAACACAACTTTACCGAATAAAAAACTTTTCGCCACAATTTATTTTTACACCGGACAAAAAACTAGTGAATTTGTAAAAACAAGCTTTGTTTGACGCCTTTGAAATGTTTGATAAATATACTTTGAAAATATAACGCAATCAAATAGAATTCAAGAAGTTTTATTATTTTTTTCCTAAGAGACGCGATCAAGAGAAGTAATTGGAATAAACAATCTTTTATAATATATTTTACTGGCAGCTGCGCGCGTCATCGTCCCCGCTGAATTGAAATCTAGTAATATAGCGTGTCACCCGGGCATAGTTTCGGAGCCTATTCAATACAAACAAACAATCAAATCTTTCCTCTTTATAATATACATAACTAGAGAAGAAGAGATTATAAATATAATATTATGTATATAAATCTATTTTTCTTTTACTATGAAAGAAAAATAGACGGACGTACGGGTCGACGCACCATAGGTAAGCCTCCCGCACGATGGACCGATGACCTGGTCAAGGCTGCGGGAGTGCACTGGATGCGGGCGGCACAGGACTGGGCATTGTGGCATTGGGGAGGCCTACGTCCAGCAGTGGATAAATTTGGGCTGATTATGATGATGAAAGAAAGAAATAAACGAGTAAAATAAATGTTTTTAAGTCAGCAAAAAAATTGTTACGTCCGAGTAGAACGTTCACAAATTACCTCATTATGTGATATCTAATAAAAATAAAATAATGAAGATATCGCCATAAATGGATTAATTTATCATAGTTAATCAACTAAGTTACTATTACTTGAGTTAACTTAAACAATGGTACTAACGAACGATCTTTCAGCGCTCAATTACCAATGAACAACTTTCCTACAGTTTGTTACTTAGGATTCTGAACTACGATCCTAAAATAAACGCGCTGTAGGAACGCCTCCATTATGCTTACTAAAGCGACAAAAATAAACTGCTATAAAAGGACCATAGAAGGCTTTTTTATTAAAAATAATAACAAGATAATGTCTGGTATTTTTACTTAACAAAATTTCGGAACCCTTTTGTCTTTGCGAATTTTGTTCATAAACTCCAGTATTACGTCGTTACGTAGGAACGGGAACTAGGGATTTCAAGGTATATTGCGTGTTCGATATCAACGGCGTCACCACGCCATCAATAATGTCTGTCAAAACTTATAGCGTTTGATTATGTCGAATTTACTATTGTGTTGTTTATATATTAACGAGCTGGGCTTCCTATGACTGTATGGGAATAAAGTACATTACCGGCGGATAAAAGAGAAAGATGTTTTAAAACAATGAATTAAAAACATACTTATCCAAAAAAACAACCAATCATATTGAAGTATTTACAAGATGAATATGACCTTTGCTTAATGTAAATTATCGGAATTCCATTTGTCGACCGCACTATGAGAAACAGTCGACCAAGCGTAAAAGTTCGAATAAAGTCATGTGTGTACATGAAAAGTTGAAAGATGAAAGCAATTTTTAAACTTAAATAGGATGTTCCGGGATATATAAGTTGCAAGGTTCTAGTTTAGAAAGAGAAGAGTTTTCGAACGTCGGTGGCTCAGGAGTCAAGCACTTGACAATCTGCAGGTCTTAGGTTCTAATCCCGGCATGAACCAATGTGTCTTTCGATTTCCGATTGCATATGTACATTTATCCGACGTTCTTACGGTGAAGGAAAACATCGTGATGCATGATATGTATAAAGTCAACCAACCCGCACATGGCCAGATTAGTTGACTATGGCCTAGTGACCCCTGATTTAGGGTAGGCTACGAGCCCCTCGGTGGGGCCGTGTAGTGAGCTGATGATGGTTATGATTTTAGAAAGAACTGATGTTGACATTTAAGTGCAAAATTTTTTGCAAGAGGCAACCCTATATAGCAATAAGTAAAATCACTTGATGGATTAGTCACAACGAATTAATTGATTACAAAATTAATTAAATAAATAAATCTATATCTACATTATGCATAAAGATTAAAAAAACGTGTCGTTATTTATGAATAATCGAATCGATTATTTTAATATGTAACAAAATAATATTCTCGTATGGAAGTTATCGTTTAGTACATGAGCCATCTTAGCCGATAAATTTAGTAAAGCAGTGGTTATTTATACTCGCTTCAGCGGCAATTTGCTGCAATTATGACTTACATAACAGAGACACTCGAGAATAATAAATTCTCTTAAGCTTGCCCTCATATTTTTTAAATAAATTTAATTCATACAAACTTAAAGCTTCTTATTAAAATGTGTGCGTTAATAATAGTATAATATAAATATGTTTTACTTCGACACACCAAGATTTATAAATTAACAAAATGGCGTATATAAAAAAATACGGAAGTATTGTCCCAAAAATTTCTGATTTTTTTCTTCATAAATTAAGCAGATGCTATGTCGTTAATTAGTGGAATGGAACCATGAAATATGCAGAAAATCATTTAGCCCATCTTTATCCGTATGGTCAACAGCAATGAAAAGATGTATAAGATTCATTTTTGTTAAATTAATTTCATATTCATCCCATGACATGAAGAGTCAACCCACATTGGATTATCGAATTTAATTGAAAACACGGCCAACCGTCAGCAAGCGACCGCTTATATCATACAAGACTGAGCGCTATTTATACAATTAACTGATATAAAATAACGTAAATTGACAACTTTCAAGTATAAGGATTACTTTAAAAATATATTCCGACACAAAGAGGCACATATAAGTACAAAATAATTCGTTATTTGTGTCGTCGCACTTCTATACCTTCCTATACTCTTCACGGGTTGTTACGTTTCGTTATTTTTGGATTAGTGTTTATTTTTAGAGACAATTTTGCAAAAAATGAATTCCGAATATCTTCAATAAATCGTGCATTTTAAATTGGTACTTTGGCAAAACGCAACAAAAAAAAATTGTACAGAAACTTGTTAATGTTCTTTCGATTTATGATGAAAACAAAATTCACTGGAAGTGTCATTTTTGCACTTACATATTCCATACGGTTATCTGTACATTTAATAAAATTGGAATGTCTGTATGTAATATTAAAAAAAATATCGTATTTCGTGCACATACAACAACTAATTTTTAAAATATTTAATTGAAATCGATGTTTATTTCTACTAATCTTCGAAACGGTTCGACCGATTTTGACGAGACATTTACTTAAAGATAGTTATAGTAAGTAAATTATGTAGTTTACTTTTTATTCTGCGGTAACGAACTCGCGGACAACCAATAGTTTTATTTTTTTTATTATTACGTAAAACTAATTATAATATTTTCATCATTACTATGTTATTATAATATAATGTTTTTTTATAGCATTAGATAATAAAAAAACTGCATACATGTAACTGTTAAATCCGTCGAATTTAATTTACCCGAAAGTGGAAGTTTCGAGAATGCAACATTCATTTAAATAGATATAAAATAAAATAAATATAAAATTCGAACTCGAAAAACAGTTTAAAAACTTACCTTAGAAATTAAAAAAAAAGTTTTAATGAAAATATATGAAAGTTCACAAACTTTTAAAATGTCGATTCAGTAAAACACAAACACACAAATCAAAACAAAACTGTTATATAATGTAATTTATAATATAATTTAGTCAAAAATTTACAACACTTCGATACGTTTTTTTGCACTGTCAGCAAACACGACCGTCTGCCGGGTGAAAGTGAAACGAACTGAGCTTTCAATGTAGCTTCCAGTACTACCGGAGTCACATCCGAACCGTCAAAGAGGTAAAAACTAATTAGTAAAACCTTTTTGGAACATAATTATAAATTTGTTTTTAAAATATTATCCTAGCCCTTTTACTTTTGAACAAATTTTAGGCCCCTGCAAAAAACCTGTCTACGACGAAGTTCTACGTCGTAGACCCACGTTGTAGACTTACGATGTAGACTTTATGATTTAAATTTGTAGAAAAAAATTACACTTACAATGCCAAAATTTGAAATAGTCAGTCTTTAAGTAAAAAAATGTTTGGTAAGGTTACTCCAACTTATAATCAAATTTAATCTTGAGGTTCTATATAAGTAAGGATTGAAGAGATACGTTAGTAAGTTTTTTATTAATATGAAACATATTTCAAGAATTCTCCGGATGAATTCGACGAGGGAGCAAATATTCTGGAGCTCCGTTAAAATAAAATTGATTAGACCTTGTTGATATGAAAGAGGTTGAACAGAAAGGAAGAGGTCGAGATGGGTATTATAAAATTTAAAAATTAACAATTCCAAAACTAGTTTAATATATATATGTATAAGCACTGATTTATATATAGACTTTAAAGTACATCACATTTTGATTATAATATGTTAATTTTGACTATCACTTTGAAATATATTATTTCTAATGAGAGAAAGCCTATTTGGATTGTATATTATCTTATCTCATTTTAGTGATTTGAAAACAATACCGTGGATTTATCTTGCAACTCAATATTACAATAGATTCATTATAGCGTGAAACAAACAATAATATTATTATCAGAAGGTTTTATTAACCAACTATTAAATTTGGTTAGTAAAATATTGTATAAATTTATTAAATTTTTTTTAGAACCACTAATGGTTTTTTGTGTAATAAAATTTGGCATTATTATCAAAAAAGGGACTTGACAAACATACGGATGGACAACAAAGTGATCCTATAAGGGTTTCGTTTTTTTTCCTATGAGCTACGGAACCCTAAAAATAAAGTATCTTCAAGCTTTGAGATTAAACTATCACCAAGAATTGTGGGATTTCAATTTCTTTGTTTGTCACAAATAAGCGTTATGTATTTATAACACTTCTTACGGTAAAGGAAAACATCGTGATGCAACCTGCACATATCTGAAAAGAAATTCAAAGATATGTGTGAAGTCAACTAACCCGCACTTGGTCAGCGTGGTTGACTATGGCATAATCACCCTTAACTTAGGATAGGCTCCAAGCTCCTCGGTGACACGTTCCGTGAGTTGATGATGATGATAATGACGATGATGATTTATAACACGTATTTGTTTTAATTCTCTTAGTACATAGTAATTAAAAACTAAAACTATAAATCACAACGGCAAGAATTCTGAAGTAATGTATCTCAAGTTGAAACTCTAAGTCCATTTACTGTTTTCACACCGCAAGTACTTAGGTTACAATTAAAATTTATTACCTCTTTACCTCGTTAAATATATATACTTAACCTTGAATCCTACTCTTAATCGTTGTTTGGTAGTATGAAAATATAATTTAGGTCCTAGTTTCTTTTCACAAAGTGATCTCTTATAATAAAATAGCTATCGCACGCGACTGCGTTCACGTGGAGTGAAAAACAAAATTAATTAGTGGCATATGTGTTGTTCCACACTATGTTCTACATCTATGCCAAATTTCAGCAAGATCCATCCAGCCGTTCCGGTGATACCTTCAAAAAACATCCATCCACCTAAACATTCGCATTTATAATATTAGTAAGATATAAAAATTACAGTTGTAGTAACCAATTTTTACTGAAATAAAACTCGAGTGATTCGTGACCTATGTCAAAGTAAAGGTTAATAGAGCATTTTAATTTCTCCTAAAATACGTTAGCTAAAATATTATACGTCGACCAGTACATAGCGTGAACTGACTTCAAATTTTTATCTTAATTACCAAGTAGTAACACGTCAAGGCTTTTATATTTGTTAATAGGCTTAAAATAGTATAATATTTTTATATTAAGTCACTTCGCTAGCCCAGTGATCCAAAGTGGGTCTTGGCCTCCGACACAAGAGATCACCAAAGCCGGTCTTTCGCTGTCTCCTACCAATCCATCGCTTGCAGCTCCAGCTCTACGGCGTTTCATCAGCGGTATCTGGGTCAGCAGCCAATTGGGGCTCCGAGATACGGCCTTGGCTGTCCAATCTTCCATCAAGGTGGTCCAGCTATGGCAGTCTGTAAGCTTTGGCTTCTCCGATATTCGACTCACGCTTCCGTCTTCTCCATGCGTTGGGTCCAAGATCTAACGCAAGGTTTTTCTTTCATGATTTTAAATTAACTGACATAGTTAAATGTAATACAATGATATGTTTGTATCATCGTTAATTGAAAGCCGTTATTAACATGCCAATCACGACAGTCTATAAACAGCATAATAAAAATTTGATAGATAATAAACATTGTGGTTGCTCATATAAATTGACAGGCGCTGTTAACAATAATATCTGCGTAATGGAAAGGACATTCTATCAATCACGGTATCGAATAAATGAGCATCATAAAAATAACAGCTCACAAATACATTCAAAGGATGAAAAATATTATTCGGTATTACAATGATATTAATTTCTTTCAATAAAATGTTCAATACAGTTCAATGTCATCTGCTTTAAGAGCATTTAAACATTATAAGCAAAACTAATAACAATTTTAAAGATATGTACAAATAATATTGACTGCATAAAACGTATTAGTAGTTTTACGACCCGACTTTGCACAGTTAGCGCTCCTTGCATCACTGCTTTTTTGTAAGTAGTAACAAATTTATAGTTGTGAAATTTCATCACGATCGGATTAGAAGTTAGCCAAGTAGAAGTAGACCGTCGGTGGCTCATGGGTCAAGCACTTGATTTGCAATCTGCAGGTCCTGAGTTCGAATCTCGCCATGTACCAATGTGATTTCCGATTTGTATATGTACATTTATCCGATGTTCTTACGGCGAAGGAAAACATCGTGATGCAACCTGCACATATCTGAGAAGAAATTCAAAGATATGTGTGAAGTCAACCAACCTGCTATTAGCATCGTGGACTATGGCCTAGTCATCCTTTACTTAGAGTAGGCTCCGAGCCCCTCAGTGGGGACGAATAGTGAGCTGATGATGATGGATTAAAAGTTTACTAGTTTGCAGATTAAAAATTTGGTACACCAATTGGCTAATTGTAAATAGTAAAGAACAAAAAATACTTAACAGACATGAATATTCAGATCCTCGGGAAATGTTATAATTAATATTAAAAGTATTTGTAATACAATCACGGTTGTATACAAGTGAATATCATTCATTTCTTTATCATTAATAACCATAACACGTGTTAATTTTATTATCTTTTAATTTATGTAGGAGAAAATATTAGTTACGTTCACCAATGGTGAAGCCAGAAGCATAGCCTTGATATTCACAATTCTCTTTCTTTTGTCTTTTGTTTTATTCTTAGGAGAAGAAGATACGCCTAAGACGCTTTAAGCATTACATCTGCTATTCTTCAGGGTTATGTTCATCATATCAAGGTAACTTTCGCTCACTTGCAAGTAGATTTTCATCCATGCATTCAATTTCTTTCATTTATATTTCAGCCATAAGGTCCTAGAGTACTGTTAATTTTTAAAAAAGTAAAATAATTAAATCGTTAAAAATAAAACTGTCATTTTCATACTTTATACATCAACATGACAATAAAATTTCCAAAAAATAACCTTAAAAATTAAATAATAATTTCTTTCAAAATTTAAACTAAAATGCCGAATACTAGACGTAGAAAATTTTCAGTTAAGCAAAATATAAAACTGAACGAAGTTACACAATCACAAAATGCCGTTCAAGTAAAGTAAGTAACATCATCTATTTACTTATGTCTATATATTTAGAACAAAATAACCTCTAAACCACTGAACTTTCTCCGACGAATCGTTGTAGACAATTGTTAAAGATTCTAGACAATATATCTATAAAGACATTCTTTCACACCACTCTTGTTATTTCAGTATGTTATATAATAATCTATACAACACAAATTTAATCACAAATGGAGATCAAACTGTACAGAATACATCGAACAATGAAGAGAACCAATTAGATTCTATAAATTCAAACGTTATTTCATCAGTGAAAAGTGCCTTACTTTTAGTGGACAAAGATGTATTAGTTAGTTTAAGCAAGGAAGATTTAAATAAAGATTCCCATATTGAAACACCATGTTGTGATAAATCAATAAATATAAGTATAGTAGATACAACAAAAGTACCTGAATCTAGTAAACAAAGAAATATAACGCGAAGGGAAAGATATGCACGGCAACATAAAATAAAAATAAGAAATCCAAGGCGAAAAATGCTAGTACCTCACGACAAAATATCTTTTAGTCAATCTGAAGGAACTAACACAGATATTTGTAGATCAACAATTGAGAAACCAAATGAAGAAACCGTCTCTGCTGGATATCCTAATATAGAAAGAGGGAGTGATAATTCCATTGAGGATATGTGTCGTATTTGCCATGGAGGAGACACATTTTGTCAAGAACTTGGTGATCTGATATCTGCTTGTTCTTGCCGAGGAACTGTTGGTAGAGTACACGTGAGATGTTTGGAACGGTGGTTGACGGAATCTGGAAAGTCCAGATGTGAACTATGCGGAATTCGATATGTAACCAGACGAGTCCATCGATATGGTGTACCAAGATCTCTCGTTATGTGGATTTTAAGTCAAAATGCTAAACAGGTAATCAAAATTTCTAATAATATTATTTTGCTACAATGTTTTATGGAAAACTTGATACTTATGCAATGAAAACGGCACCCAAACGTTACATGTTGTAAGTGCTGTGTATAAAAATGTTGAGCAAATGAAATACGAAGAATATGTAAGTTATCCCTTTATTGCTTCAAATCTTTGTAACCAACTCCAAGGTAAAACGTTGAGAAAATTGAAAATAACTCCTATCCAAAAACGATTTCACGGTATAAGTTTATTTACATATTTCTTAGAAATTTATTATCATCTAGGAATTCATTTTTTTCTGTTCTAGTTAATGGTGGATACCCTTGGTATAGTACTGATGTCTCCCCTCGCTATACTAGCGGCGTGGCTTTCGGGCAAAACCTTTGCTGCGCTGATCTCACAGGAAAACCATACATCACCTGCACCTTGGCCACTCGCTTCAACTTTTGTCCTGGCCTGTATGACACTTGTGAGTACGTAAAATGTTATTTTGCATTCTAACGACAATCAGATGAAAAAGTATTTAGTTACAAAACTTTATTATTAAAAATAAATTTCATATTAACTTTACCATTGGTTACGAACATTATTTTTGTTTTATACATAATTGCTGCTATATTACCATCAGGCGCTGTATAAAACATTCTCGCTAATTTGTATTTCATATGGTGTCAACTTTCTTAATTAGTCTTATCCACTTCGCTCTATTTTCGATACCTTTGTCTGAGACTTGTCAGTCACCCATGTTTTTGAAAACTACATCTTTCTACATTATTTTGGGTCTGCCTTGCATCGGAACACAATAAATTCTAAGATTAATTATATTGTTATTTTGAAAGGTTTGCTACTATTGCTGGATAGTATCGGCGACGACCCGCCACACTCTGAGCTGGTGGATTTGGTACCGGGCGCAGTACGAAGTGAGGCTACAACTCAACCGCGATAGCGAAGAATGAACATGTCTTGTGGCATCTTACTTTGTTACTGTTTACGCGCAACTATATTATATAGTACATGGAAATATTAAACATAAGGAAATTTTGTAATAAATTGGTATGAAAAGGTCTTTTACGTCTTTTTGTATGCCAGCGGATCGAAGGATCAATGTTGCTTTAAATATTATACCTATTCATTTTAATACTCTTTCGAATAAGGATCTAATTATGTAAATTTAAAGGAATAACGCACAATGAAAAGGTAAAATTGTTACCGAAACTTCTCTACGTTATAAAGTTTGAGAATAAATCTTTAGAGTAAAGAGACCACGTTCACCTTTCTTTACACAGAACTCAAACAGGGCTCCTTTAACCCACATTTACGAATATGTTTAATATCTTAGCTTTCATATTTACAAGAGTTTCTTAAGAAAAATATAGCTATAAAAAGAATATTTTTAATGTGAAAACGACGATAATTATAAAACTGGAATATCACCTGTTTAGATCTGATCCTACTACCCACTTTCAGCTTTAACTGTACAGACAAAACTGGACGAGTGCTGAAACTGAACAGTTAACTGTCAATTCAAATGCCTACACATCTTCATTTTTAACTACAGTTCAATTGGGGGTTTAAGCAAAGTGCATTCGCTCCAAAACGATTTCATAACGAACTTCAAAAATGTATGGAATTGACAAAAACTTTGGATAACTCCCATGATTATCGCGTGTTAGTTCCATACATTATTGAAGTTCGCTATGAAATCGCTTCGAAGCGAATGCATTTCGTCTAAACCCTTTGTAGAGTTAAAACTGTTACTCGTTGGTAGTTTTTATTGATAGAAATGAGGTTAGAACAAACTATGAACGCACCATCAATTTTATCTTTTTATAGAAAATATCACGTATTTGTATAATATTTTTTTCCTAAAGAAGTCAAATACGCATCGAATATACAGGAATATGGGAAAAACTATTTTATTGGCTCGGTTACAAGATTTATTGTGTGTATAAGGAAATATAAGCCGTACTAAACCGTGCGTAACGCATCGCTATACTGAACAACGTTTGCTTTGTAAGTTTATTTATATGAACAAACAATACAGACATAATTTTTACTTTAATAGTAGTTTCACACTGGTAACAAACCAATCACAATGTTTTCTGCTAATTATTTCATCATTAAAACACTGTCTATAGTTCGCCATAATAGACTTTAAATTAACCTATAATGTGTTTAAAATTATGTTATTAAGCTAACAGTCGCCCGCGACTTCTGCCGAGCGGAGTTAAAAAAAACTTTATTAGTAGCCTATGTGTTCTTCCAGGTATGTTCTACATCTATGCCAAGTTTAAGCGAGATCCATGCAGCTGTTCTATAGATATCTTCAGACAAACATTATCATTTATAATATAAGTAAAAAGTAGGTAAGAAAGTGAGAAGTAGGAATAAGTAAGTTAGACTTTACAGAAACCAGACGTCAGCAAATTAAGTCGCTGTTGAAATATTTAATTATATTTATTGTTTAAATATAAAACTTGAATTTATTTAGCGTACCAAGTTGAGTTACTTTACAGCAAGTCGACAAAGTTTTATACAACTTGTGTATTGTTTTCTTGTACCCAATTTGTTATAAGCAATCGTGCACGAACAAAAGATATGAACTCAAAGACCTTTTATACAATTTACTTGCAAAACGTTTGTGCCTGGATCAATACACATTGTCTTACATCAACGACACTTTTGTTTAGACTTCTAGGTTTTATTTCCTATTAAAGCTAATATCAAATAAAAAAAATAGTAAAAAAACAAAACCCGATTTATCGTTTGGGGCCTTCTTTGAAACAGGCTTAAAATAAAGAGTGCATCGAATTATAATCGTTTAATTTCAGACTTCTACCATTTGTTAATATGAAACTAATTTGAGATAAACTTCCCATCTCTATTACTAAAATATATTAGAGTTGAGCAACTACCAGAGTTTTAAAATAAACCTTAAGTTGTACATATAGCATATATAAAAAATAGTAATTAATAAATGCTCAAATCACATATTTTAAAGTATTTCGTTCAGTTCTTTATAGAACTGACATCTTCCATCCAGTCAGGCCAACTTCTAATTTCATTGTATAACTTCCTGCCTGGACTTTCTGTAGCAATGAGCTGTCGATGGCCTACCACGTGGTAGTTTGAAGCCAAGTGTCCGAGATCAACGCCACACTTGATCAGCGCCTTAGCAGCGTTGAGAGCTTGAGTAGTCGGCTGGTCTTCTGCAAAACATATATTAATGAGTCAAAGCATGGAAATAATTGGATCAATTGTTCTCGACTGTACTATGTTACCCTAAAACTACACTCCCAATTGCGTGTATTAGGTAATTTAATGTTCATCTCTTTCATTCTCTATTAAAAAACAGAGACGGACATATATACTCGTATATTGATATAAGCTTTCGTACGATCGTACGTTTCCCCACAGTTTCAAAGAAAACTAAAATTAATACTACAAGTGGAAGTAGACTACAAAGTTCGCAGCTTCGATTGAACTGCTCTTTAAAGTAAAAAGTTAAACACTTTATAAACTTCAATTACAAGTACGATTCAATAAAGCAAAGAAGTTTAACTTACTGTTAAAGTTTCCGATGAAGGCAACGCCAATGGATTTACTGTTGTAGCCGTAAGTATGTGCGCCTGCGTGTAACCAGCCAGGACCTTCATATACCTTTCCGTTACCGCCAATGAGGAACCTTCAAGTAAACATTATGAATAAATAACTGAAACATTCTCGATTAAGGTCAGGTCACCCAGGCCATATACTTTTGGATGGAGGTTGGACAAATATTGAGACAGTGTCAACTTTTTTATAACGACTCAATAAGTGTTTACCAAAAACATCAATCTATACGTCAGGTTAAAAAGGTTAAAGAGAAATAATAGTGTTCGATAGGATTCCATTAAACATGACAGTAAAAATAGGCGTGACGACTGAAGTGACGGAAAAGCGATCTGCAGAAAAAAAACCTTAGTACCAACTGCACACAATGGGATAGTAAGATGATAGCGATGAAACTCATAAATTGCTAACTCACGATTGTCCAATATCCCAAAAGTTCAAATTGTCCATTTGATATGCTTGGATGTTCCTTACAATCTCTGCACATCCGTCATCCGTCGCGCACGTAGGAGTCACCGTATGCTGGATGATGACAAGGTCTACCGGTCGCGGCAGGTAGCGCACGTGGACCGGTTTAAGTCCATCCCATTCTTTGCGACTCACTATTGTAGGACATTCTGGAAACAGAGATACAAATAATTTTATTTACGCACAGGACAAGCTATAGAGATTTTCAGACTAAAGAAACACTTTTATCACTTTTTATCATCATCATCATCATCATCACTTTTACGATTGGATATTGATAAGAGAATAAAATATATCCAATTCTTTCTCAACAAAAACAAATGAATCAAGTTACTTAGAAATTAAATCAGACAATTAGACTATCTTTTGTTTTGTTGAATCACTATATCCAATGTTTCTTAATATTGCATAAATATTCGCTCTACATTTTTCTCCTTTGATACAATCAATACACTAATTGTTCATCGGTTCAGACAAAACAATTAAACACAAACAGAATTAAATATCAGTCATAAAATTGCAATAGCAAAAAATATTTTTATTTTAGTTGGTTATTTTGTTTTGTACAGTGTGTAGAAATATTACTGCTATACAAATCTTAACAATATTATAAATGTGAATATTTGGATGTATGGATGGAATCTTTCTTACATGGTATCTCCAAAACAGCTCAAGGTAGCTAAAATTTGGCATAGATGTAGAACATAGTCTGCAAGAACACATAGTCTACTAATTAAGTTTTTTCTTTAACTCTGGACGGACTAAGTCGCCGGTGACATCTAGTAGTGTATAAAAATGTGATTATCTGAATTGTACTAAACTAGCTGCAGCTTGCGAATCCATCCGCGCAGTATTAAAAAACACTTAATTAATAGCCTATGTGTTCTTCCAGACTATGTTCTATATCCATGCCAAATTTTATCAAATACATTCAGTCGTTCTGGAGATACCTTAAAACAAACATCCATCGAAACATTCACATTTATAATATTAGCAAGATTGTGTAGGTCACTTTGAACTCAGCTAAATTGCAAACGTCTAACATTGTTCATAAGATCATTGACCTTTAACGGATCTATAATTTAGCACGATATAGCTTCATAATTATGTATTACAGATAACAAATACTCACTTGCACTGGCATAAAAACATTGCAAAAAAAGAATAAAAAATAAACAACAATATTTAAATATCATTTTGATCGTGTGAACCTCGCGAGTATTAAAAAGATACTGAAGTTTCCTTGCAATGACGCGTCTATAAATTCTTTATTATATTATAACTGGAACCAATAATTATATGGTCAAGTTTGGATCTTTTGTCTCTGTTTTTGCTCGTATACTAAACAAAGACAGAATTGCAATAGGCTATCAGGAATTAAGTGTTGTTAATTATAAAATATATAAGTAAAATATATACTATTTAAATCTTTAATTAAATCGATAACTATTTATTTCAGTACTAGATGGCGCCCGCGACTCCATCCGTGTGGAATTAAAAAAAAAAACTTAGTGAGTTGCCTATGTGTTCTTCCAGGCTGTGTTCTACATATATGCCAAATTTTAGCCAGATCCGTTGAGCCGTTCCGGAGATACCTTCAAACAAACATTCATTCATCCATCCATATGATTTTATAATTAGTAAGAAAGTAATAAACTCCTTGCTGTAATATTTCTTAGTATAAAAGCAAGAATTTACTAATCTTGAGATTAAATTTTATTTATTTTACTTATTTAAACACTGCTAATAAATATGTTCTGTACAAACGGCATATTAATTAATAAGAAATTATTTGATGGTTTAATTTCAGCTCACAATTCCAGACATGTCGTCATACTATACACGACTTGCATCTAATACTTTTCTAAAGAATTAAAATTCCTTTTATTATCATAATATGATACATTAGAGAGTAAAATTAGCTCTAGAAAATAGTCAATTAAAGACAGAAATTGTGTTTATTTTTTTGATCATGTGGACATCAAATAGTTAAAATGTTAACGACAAAAAAAAATAAAAGACATATTCTTCTGCTTACCCTGTTTACATAAATCACTAATTCCACAAATAACGAGAAACTTCGATAAGCACTAGTAACACTAAAAATAATTCTAATGTAAAAAAAAAATTAAAAAATTAAACAGCCAATCCACTCCCGCTATCTCTCTAGACATGACACATGCATAAATATTTTACTGTCGAACAGTTTAGGTACTTCCCCGACGCCGCGACGGGAAGAACCTGCCTCGTTGTAACGAATCAATGATATTACCAAGAAATAATTATTTAATTATAACGAAATTCAACTTTTAATTTAAGGAAAATATTGTTATAATTAGTTTGGAAATTATTTGTCTAAAAAACTTTACAATTATAAAAAAAAATTATAGCTACCAGATGTCGCCCGCGACTCTGTCCGCGCGGAATTAAAAAAAAAATAATAATTAGTAGCCTCTGTGTTCTTCCAAACTATGTTCTATGTGTAAGCCAAATTTCATCGCGATTCGTTCAACCGTTCTGGAGCTACCTACAAACAAAAATCCTTCCATCCATCCATCTAAACATTCTCATTTATAATATTAGTAAGATTTCAAAACTGAAAGAAATAAAAAATAAAGTTGTTGACAACCGTACTAGATTAAACAGCTTTATTTATCGAGCACAAATTGCTTTTACTGCACACTTCAACATTAAAACTGCAATAAACAGATGTTGTACTTGTTTATGGAGCTAACACCCATAAAATCCTTTACGAATATTGGCCAAACTCAGTTATATTCACACTTAATATTGAAACAAAAAATATGATTGACAAATTAAAAAAAAATAAGAGAAAAAATTAAAAAATAACTTTGTTACTGTATTGTTTTAAAATAATATTATGCCTAATAACGCAGATAAGACGTATTCACTTTAGGGTTCAATTTCTAAATAAATATAAGAAATATTAAAATAATTTAATAAATACAATTTATATAGTACAGTTCACGTTCCTTGTGATGACTATCTTTCAATCTATATTTCTACTTAAGTTTTTCGATTAAATTTAATGTCTTAAGTCTTTATGGATAGGAAAACTTCCATCAGGACCAGAGTGTATCTCGATCAAGCTTACAATCCCTATGATGTGGGTTGCTTCAACAATTACATGAACAACGCAATTTACTTTTATTACGTAGTTTAACTGGATTAGTAATAGCTACCGCATTTTATCTCTTGCTAAAGCAAATCTTGTAATAAAGATTTGTTTAGTATACATAAATAAACTAATCATACGTCTTCATATACATTAACCTACAAAACAGGCGTTGTAATAAACCAAAATACGTACAATTAATTAAAAAATAAACGTAATTTAAATTGATTGACCTTTCAGTTAAAGAGCCAACCTGATTTATGTTAAATGGTGATTTAAAAGATATTTGTAGCGTTGTTATTCTGTCCTGCATGTTAATTAATATAAAACTGCCGTATAAAATATTTACTGCAATTATTTCAAAAAATATTTACGATGCTATATTCTGACAGGCGCTTTACGGCTACAATAATAAATTCTTTGACACTTATTATAAATAATATTTACCCATAATAACCAAATGATTATTATAAATTTGATGGTAAATTTTGACGTTTTGAAAGACTGTCTTCGTCTTTGAATGTATAATACAATTCTTTGCGCCCTTTTCGGTTAAAGAAAAATGTTTACAACAATCTTAAAAAGAAAGTGACTTTTCTAAAAACTGACACAGACTAATGGTCGAAGATTATTCTCAGATCTTGCAAATACCTAGCTTTTGTTTCTGAAAATATACACGTAGACTTTGTATAACCCTTATGAAAGCAAATCTCGTTATCTACAATAACATTTAACAAATTTTGGTATACAAGAGAAATAAGTTTTCAGATCAGCTTATGTATCTGTGGGTGACAGAATTTTTATCTTACGTGCTTACTATATCTGTCCGTGACAGCACTCGACATTTAAATACTTACATAAAAAAATCAGTTTTAAATATCTTTGTAGTAAAATCTAGCCACCACATCCCACGGACAATTACAACAAACGAATAATATAATTTTTAACCTGTGTTTACCATAATTTTTAAAATTAAATTAAATGTGTAATCTAACATTTATTATGGTACCAAGTTATATTAATTGAAAACAAATTTTAAAATCTTAAATTAAACTGAATCCAATTTCAAGATCTCATTACAATCTTACAATTTATTTTAAGAAAGCATCAAATGTTACGGCTCAGTATTTTCTGATCTTTTTCCAATCTCTTGAATCGTTTGAAATTTATTTAAGAGCATTGTCAAAAAGGCGATATTCTCTGTTCCTATATTACGTTCTTATTGTTATACGAGAGTCGTATTTTATAAATCTTTCTATTTGACAAAGCGACTTTATGAGAATTTTGCGAGGAATACAAAGATGTGAGAAGTCTAAGTTGACTAAGACTCCGAGTGTGCCTGTGACAAGCATATGTGATGATGATGCAGCTGTTTAATGAGCTACAGATTTTTCTTCAAATAGCTGTTGATGACGACCTTGTCCTCTTAGTTTTGTTAATAAAAAAGCAGTAATTACTTTGATTTTAATAGACTGAGTTATGGCGCAATTCTGGAAAAGGGAAAAACCAAATTTATTCTGGAAACCACTCATTTTTACAGGATCAAAAGTAGAATATTTCTGACTATATTATATCACCGCTTAATCTTAAGCCGTTAAACTGTTACTGGTAACAAACATTCATACATCCATACATCCAAACTTTTCCATATATAAATCTTGTAAGATTATGATGTGTAAGTAATGAATGGAAAATTAATACGTTCTGTTTAATCTTTTATTTACTTAGCAAACATTTACCAAATTTTTAAGATAAAGTGATCCAATTAACTAAACTAGAACTTTTTACCACTATCTATCTTATCGATATGTTCCAAGAATATGTGCTCAATTAAAATACATTTTAGACTACATTTAAAATGTTGTAACAGAATGGAGAAGAGATAGAGAGCGTCGATGGCTCAGGGCTTAAGCCATTGACTGGTAAGCAGGTCCTGGGTACGAATCCCGCCATGTATTAATATGTTTTTCAATTTACATTTGTACATTTATCCGACATTCTTACTGTAAAGGAAAATATCGTGATGCGACCCGCACGTAACTGCAAAGAAATTCAAAGATACATGCGAAGTCAACCAACCCGCACTGTAGCGTTGTTTCACTATGTAGTCACCCCTGATTTAGGGTAGGCTGCGAGTCCCACAGTGGTGACGTAAATTTAGCTGTTGATGATAAAAAGATTGGAATATAAGTATCAATGTTCAGTTTCTAAAGTGAAGTTTAATTAATTTACCATGTAATAATTGTGTCACGCCAATTAACTGTTTAAATTATCGATGACGGAAACTCCTTCATTAAAATGAGACAAGGGTTCACAATACACTTTGTAGAAATATTCACGGAACTATGGCAGTTCAAATAACAACGTTAAATAACTTTGAATGTTGAAAATATCTTTGACGTTTAAAGACAGGACTTGAAAACGCGCATTTCATGCTTTCAAATAGAACGAACAATGAGTGCTTGCTTGTGTGCTCGTTTACACACATAGTATTAATATTTGTGTCAATAAGCGTTTCTAAAGATGTTTAAATTTTACATGTCAACATCCTCCCATCTATTTCATCCAAGCCAATCAAATGAATTGTTAGTCCATTTCTCTATAATCAAAGGACAATATAGATAGATCGACCAATTTCCATGAAGTCAATGAAATGATATGAAAGCCCACTAAAGAAACTTCCGCCTTCCTATTCTGTGGTTCAAAACACCTGAACAATATGTTATCGTTAAAACTCTGCCTATAAATTCTGTTTGAAGGTGATAAGAACTGATGTTAAATTTAACAAGTCCTATTTTAACATTAAAAACTCAAGTATGTTTATATAACAAAATATATTTGCACAAAATACTTTAACATTAATTAAAACTAGTTAAATAAACATATTAAATTAAATAATAATGATTGTTACAAAACAATAATCGAAAGGTGGGATGTGAACCCTCTACCGCTTAGTCATCAGTCTGTACTTTTAACCATTGAGCTATTGGTGCTTCGTAATATTACAAAGCGTATGTCCAATGTGACCAGGTGCTGATATGTTCCTGCAGCTTATCTCCCGGACTATTAGTCGCGGATAACTGCCGGTGACCAACGATACGGTAGTTTGGTGTTAGATAGTAATTCTTAACACCACAAGATAACAAATCTTCAGCAGCCTGCAAAGCTTCTGGTGTCGGAAGATCATCTGTAATCGGAACAATTGTATAAATCTATCTGCAGGTTTCACTGTCTAAATAAATAATACAGACATATTGCAATCTATTTTCATTTGAACACAGCTCAGTAGTTGAATGCAACGGTTATCTTAATAATATCATAAATGCGAATGTGTAGATGGATGGATGGATGGATGTTTGTTTGAAGGCATCTCCAGAACGGCTGAACAGATCTCTATTAAATTTGGCATACATTTAGAACATAGTCTGGAGAAACACATAAGCTACTAATTAAGTTTTATGTTCGCGCGGACGGAGTCGCAAGCAACAGCTAGTACGACTAAATAAACTAAGCACTTGTTTTCAAACTAAAGTTCAATTAAACTTCAATTATTTTCAAACTTTTTAAGAGTTTGTAGGACAACTTGAATTGCATATGCTTTAACTTACATGAAAAGTCTCCTATGAAAGACACAGCAATGGCCTTATCGTTGTACCCGCGCGTGTGAGCTCCGACGTGCTTCCAACCTGCACCTTCATATACTTTGCCGTTGCTCCCGATAAAGAAACTGCAATATTATAGAGGCTTAATCGAATTAATTTGAAGAGAAAATTTAATAATAAATATGTTCAACTATGAACAATCCTTTATGATTAATGACTTATGGTGATTTAAGCAGTTCCTTTACTGAAAGGTCTGTAGGGATTACTGTCCAGCAGTGGGCAGACAGCTGATGATGTTGGTAGTCCAGTATATTGTGGTCTCTAACCTAACAATTGTATCTAGTAGTTTGCCTCCCGGAGACCTCATTTAGTCCTCTTTCCCTTCCCACCGTTTTTCTTATAAGGAAAGGATGGGAAGTGGAAGTGGACTTTCCGGATGAGAGGATGCATACGAAGGGAAAATATTTTATTTCTGTGCAACCTCTCCTCCGGCGATTAAAGGTAGGCAACGCATATGCAATTGCGTATGTCTATGGACAGCGGTCGCTTCGCTATTTCAGTGATTTCAGGTGGCCGCTCGCTCGTTTGCCACCTTATGATATAAAAAAAAATGGTACTTACGATTGGCCGATGTCGGTGAAATTTAAATGATTGATATGGTAATCTCTAATGCTTTTCAAGTTGCTTTCACAGGTATGATCAGTATAACATGGCGGTGACACTGTGTGCTGTATGACTACAATCTTCACTGGCAAATCTAATAGAACTGTGCGCCGCGTTGACTCCCATCCCCATAGCCAAATCGGTACAACGCCACAACTCGCGTCTGAAATAGATTGACACATTAAAAAAAAATTAAATAGATTTTTTATAAATAAAATAAGAACTGATTTATCCTAAATGCTACTGGATACTTCATACTAATATGATAATTTAAAATTGATGGATGGATGTTTGTTAAAAGGTATCTCCAGTACGGCTGTAAAGATCTCGTCGAAATTTGGCATAGATGTGGAACATTGTCGAAAGAAAACAAAGGTAATTGAGTTTAAGTTTTTAATTAATTCCGCGCGGACGTATCCGGAACAGCGGGCGACTATAAACTAGAAATTTATGTTTAAAAACTTTGCTTGTACCAAAAAACTTACATACTGTTAACGCTTTGTTTGCCGACATATCAAAAAATAATACATTTTAACCTCCTCGTCAATAATTCGATGACAAATTAATAATTTCCTTACCAATAAATGCTGTTGTTGTTGAAAATATTTGATGCAAGATAAAAGCAATTAGTAAAAAGAAATTTGCCATTTTAATAAAATTTTAAACACAACTTCTTAATTTATATATACTTAACTATTGAAATCTTTTTCCAGATTGAATCTAAAACCACTCGCACGTATTTAAATACTGATGAAATATTTCTCCCCCGACTGTAGAAATTTCCCATACATTGTTATCAATGTTCTAAATAACAACGCAAAACAAGGGCAAAAGATCGTTGTGATATCAAAATAATAACGACATTATAAGGTTTTCAAGATTTACTTTGAATAATAATATTAAAGCTATTTAATAATAATTGATCTTAAGGGAAAGTCTATACCTAGCAGTGGACATCATATGCCTGAAAACAAAAAAAAAAATGGTCATGACAGACTGACGGACAACAAAGTGATCCTATAAGGGTTCCGATTTTTCCTATGGAGGTACGGACCCCTAAAAAGAATATTAGTTAATAATGTTTTCTTTTCAAATACATTGTGACGAGATTCACGTATCCTAACATTTTAAATGATTTTATTATAATTAATAAATATTCAACCCTAACTAGCACTTCTAGCTATAACTAAGTAGTAGTATTGACAACCTCTATATAGTAAGGAAATAGTTCTTCCCCGAATCCGATAGTCAATGACTAAATTAAGTCAATGAAGCACGCTTAACATTGTATATTACTATACAAACTTTAAGGTTATCCAAACTTTATTGGAAAATAGCTGGCGCCCTCAATTCGCGCGCAGAGAAATGTTTTCACGATGAAATATTGCCTTTATACTATTGCGGACTGCTACATATTTTCCAAGACGTGCAAGATATATAGGTGCTAGCCACAACTGAACGCAATATAACTCTACCCGCAATGGAAGCTTAACTTAGCAACAACATGCGCTTAAAACTAGCCCCGAGCCGCCATAAAGTTTGAATCTTGTAATACATTTTAGCGGGCATAAGAACTTATCATTTTTTATTTTCTTGTGTGAATAGTTTTTATATTATTGAATACAAGAAATATATTTTAAATTTCTAAACTGGTTATTTGCAATTTAAATATTACTACATATTTATGTATTGTCTCTTACAATTCAATGGAAACCCATACCCTACCATTTGGCTCTACACAAATAGAATTAATTTTGCTGTGTAAATAACTGAATATTCCTCAGAAATTTTCCAACTAAGAGTAATTTTCGCAATATTATCCTTAAATAATATCATAACATGGAAAGTTTTCAATATTTCTTACATTGTTATTTACTCTTTGCATTTGTAGAGATTCTACGAAGAACCGAAATTGTTCCATTATTATCAATTCAAAAAATGTTATTTGAATACAGTTACAGTTAAATATATAAATGTAAGGAGGCGTGTTAGGTTTATGGTACATTTATATATGTTTAGTACTGGCAACTTTGTGTAACTGTGTTCGCTGTTTGAAAAGATGTCATGGCGTGTGTGTAAGAAAATAAAGATGATTAAACAATAAGAAAAGTGTGTTTTAACATGGTAGCAGAGTTTTTTTAACAGTAATTAATGGCAATTATCGTTATAAAATCTTACTTCTTCCTAATATTATAAATGCGAAAGTTTAGATGTATGGATGGATGTTAGAAGGTATCTTCAGAACAGCTAAAGCTTACCATAGATGTAGAACATAGTCTGGAATTAGGTGAGGCTTCCAATTAACTTAAAACCTAATAGTTTTTTTTTTATCCCATGGGGATGGAGTAGCGGGCGACAGCTAATAAATTATAAATATACATTTCCCAGACAAAAAAGTAGAATAACATTTACAGCTTTCGTTTTGTTACACAGTTAATATAGACGGTCGTCTAACATGACTTTCCATCACATTTTCAAATATGAAACGGGGAAGACCTAAGTCCAAATGATACGCGGGATCTTTGTTTACCTGCATCAAAATGTACTACCAATTACTATGTTAAAATATATATACAAAATGGTTGTCTATCTGTCTGCAAATTCTCGTTTGTTCTGGGTAATATCTAAAACGGTTAGACCGATTTCGAAAGGAGTTTTATTTAAATTTAAATATTTCACGCTGACAAAGTTGCGAGAAATAACAAGACTATTATTTCTTTTATCTGACACGCATTCGTTAAGAATAATATAATATAAGTATAGGGCAATAGCATCAGAAATAAAAATCAGTAGATTTACCAGATTACGTAAAAGAAATCCGCAATCACTGTTCAGCCAGAGTCTAGTTCTTCTTCAAAAGTTCCAGATAAATTCTCAAATTCTATCTCGTTTAGACTTTTGTGTCCTAGCTCTTGACTTCTTTAGTACTCGTATAATAGTCGTGTTCGACGTCATCCAATGTAGCTTCAACCACTATGTTAGCTCTTCACCTTACGTCCATCTGATTGATGATCCAGGAGACAGAGAAAAGGTTCAAGGTTCAAATAATAATGATAAACAGATGCTTACCTTTACAAACAATAATTGTGTTTACATTTATCCTATAAATACGCACAAATAACCTATGAGTAGGAATCCATTGAAGAATCCATTGCTTTTGCTAGAATCATAATAAAAGGTTTGTTTAGAAATAAATATTGTGATGTATTGAAAAATATTATCCGGGATAATAGAGGCGTCGGGGATTTACAAGTTACCGGCCATTGTGATCTCCTACATATATACTCACACGATTTATTCTAAATGCATTTTATATTCGTACGTGGTTAAAGTGTACCAATAGAAGTCTACTGTTTCCTAATAGAAGTAAAAATGACGAGTCTACATTTACTACTCTTTGTTTTTGTAGCAAAAATCGTTGCCGCTACTGGTAAATATCTCACACTTTATTTTTATTTTGATGGTACCTAATTGTGTGTTGTGGTTTCTCCTACTCTATGATAATCGTATCATCTTCATACTCTAATCTTACTCTATGAGTGTGTTCTATATTTTACAAATTAATTAAATATAATATTTGTTATTTCATCACTCTCTTCGGAATTTCACATATTCAAATCTTCTTTTCTCTATCTCTACTTATATACCCCTACTGAGATAATAATGCTAAATTAATTAAAAACTATCACCAGGTTGACAGTACGTAAGTTGCCATCGGGTTAACCTTCCACATTATCATTGCCATCACCAGATTAACATAATATTTCATGATTACAGATAGAGATTGTGGGGTATTACCAATAACATTATGGAGCGGAGAGAAGTCGCGCAGGACGTCGATGCTAAAGACACCAGTACAACTTGTCGTCATCCAACACACGGTCTCACCTGCATGTTACACTGACCAGGCTTGTGAGAGTATTCTACGCGGTATCAGGATACATCACATCGTAGATTTAGATTTCATCGATATTGGAACATCGTAAGTATAAAGATGATATCAAAAAAAGATTCTTGCAAATACCAAATTAGATTTGACCAATAACAATCTCGACACATTGACACTTTTGCATCATCGTAACTGAAAATCCTGATATACGATATATCTAGAGCTTGGTAATTCCGTTTCGATCGTCAATCTTTTAATTCATTGTTTTAATAATAATTAAATGCAAAATATAAAGAAGAAGGAGCTCACAGAACCAGCAGTGAACAGAACAGTAATAAAATTAATTTGCGAAGAATGATTTAACAATTTTATCGTCATCTTATTTGCAGATTTCTTATCGGTGGTAACGGCAGAGTATACGAGGGCGCTGGCTGGCAACGCATTGGCGCGCACACGAGGGGGTACAACGACAAATCCATCAGCATATCTTTTATTGGGAACTTTAATAGTAAGTAAAGGAATCAATGAAGTAAACAAGTTAATTCACTGCTGTAATAAGAATGGAAGCTTTAAAAATACCATCAACTCTGGATCTCTAGATGCTATGAATGTATTGAAACAAAATCATCATCACCGTCATCGGACGACACAACAGACCGCCAGGTTCCATCCACACCATCACGATGGCTGGCAATCCACAACCGTGCAGATTGCGCGAAACTTCCTGCCTCGCACAGCAGCGTTGTGGAATAGTCTGTCCTCGGCGGTATTTCCAAACCGCTACGACTTAGGGTCCTTTAAGAAGCGAGCTTATCACCACCTCAAAGGCCGGCAACGCATTTGCGGTTCCTCTGGTATTGCTGATGTCCATGGGCGTCGTTATACACCTCGGTGTTCCCGCTGCTCGTTTGCCCCCTTCTGTTATAAAAAAAATAGATTGCCATTGTAAATAGAGCAGATTATAAATACTTCTTCGTCTTACAGATGAACTGCCCACATCTAAAGCATTAAAAGCGGCTCAAGACTTAATAAATTGTGGTGTATACAATAACTATTTGACCAAGGACTACGAACTGGTAGGACACCGACAGCTATCTGCAACACAGAGCCCCGGCGACTCCCTACAGGACCTTATAGAGACGTGGCCACATTGGAAAAAGTTTGATTAAGTTATTACGTTCTTTAAATACCTATTATTATTATTATTATTTATTTATTAAATCATATGTTAAATGAGTTAGTACTTTTTATGTAATTTTAATATAAAGTTTAGATTTCCTAGTGATACCATTCAATTAAAATTATTCCTCGTTTCTCAGTTTTTTTAAGTCTGAAGAATCGAATGATGGCACAGTATAACTTCTTATAAACGTTATCTAAGTTACTCTGAATATATTATAAGAAAAAGGACGAATAAATGTAGGTAATGTTGTAAGAACGTCCTATTTACGGCTACGTCCTGTAAGGCAATACATAACAAGGATATTTCCTTCACAAGCATTGTACGACACAAACAGCTCTAGAACGAGGCTACAATTGTATGACGTCGCCTGTGTAATTGGAAATCCGATAAGACCGGCATTCATGCAACATCCTTTCGAGACGTCCGCTCACAAGGACATACCAATCAAAACTATTGGAGCAAATGATAGGTACATTGTGCATAGAATTACATAAAATAAAATATCCTGGACTAGAATTTATTTTTAAATTTTATTGGTAAATGGCATTAGTTGATGGTCAAATCGAATGTTGTTCAAAATATTCATTAATAAGGTTTTATTTTATTTTATTTTTTCTTCATGTAATACTGGCTTGATATCTTCTTGGTAGACAGAAATAGTCTTTTAGAAGCGCCACTTGGGCGTTCTATTAGTAAAAAGTAATTATTGAAACAACTGAACTCTGTAGTATATTTAACGGGACACACTTAACCAATTTTTCTTTTACTTGTCTATAACAAACAATTGAAGACATGTCGTGAATTGTCAAAGAAAAACTTTAAAGGTATGTCACAAGGTCATGACCTCTATTAGTACGTCACAAAAAATATATTAGCATAAATGGTTGTAGGTAAATTCAATTTCTGGAATGGTCTATCTGTCGTCATTTTTTTTGCGTCAATTTGAATATACGTGTATAGTTTTTTTGTATACTAAAAGGTTGTGAACGATGCTTGCTCATGTTAGTGCATTTAGTGGAAAGGTTACACGCTTCCACATCACTCCTGTCTTCTGTGGTCTTGGTATAGCAACGGTCGGGCGAGCCATTCGTCCAACTATGGTACTAAGGACTCGACCATTAAGAGTTATAATTCTATAACATTAAAAATCTAATTTATAAGACTTTATTAACTATGAACTAAGATTAATTAAAGTATGAAAAAGGTAAAAAGAAAACTTGTTTGGCAAAAGGGGTTTTTTTATGTTTGGTACACATGATTCGAAGTTTTATTAACAACCTGTTTAAAGATTGTTATTGATACAGCGTGCGTAGATTCATATATGAAAGACGTAGACACAATTAGTACTACAAATTAATTCGCAATGGTTCATGATTCGTCAAAAACATGTTCTCTCACAAACAATACGTCAGATGTTATTATTATTATATCTTTACACTCTTAAATTAGTGACGTAACTTAAACATCAATTAAATTCGCTTAAAGTGAATTTCCATTGCTGTACAAAAAGGTATTCTCATTCCTTTCGTTAACCTTGAAAAAATGAGATATCGATATGTTTTTGTAAATTACAGTAAAATCTAACGGTTATAATGAGTTCAAAGATGTGTACTTATTGACACATATTTTGTCTTTGTTTTTCCAGTGCAAAATGAAAGGGATGACAATTGTATTTTGTGCAATGGCGCTCTACAGTCACAGTATGCGCAGAATGACGTACGCGTCAGCTCGATACAACCAGGCTTGTTTATTGGCATAGAAGCCGATGTTTAATGTCGATTCATTCTATGTATCACTGACCTAGAAAAAAACCAGTCCCTTTACAACTTCAAGAAACCGAGGTTGTACAATAACACTGAATCAAAGGAATTTTGCTTATATCAATTACTGTTAACGGCACACCGTCTGCTTGTAATTAAAAAAAATAGTAGCCTTAGTGTTCTTCAAAGCTATGTTCTACATCTGTGCCAAATTTTAGTTAGATCCATGAAAACATTCTGGAGATAACTTCTAACAAACATCCACGCATACATCCAAAAATTCACATTTATAATATTAAAATATATGTAAGAATATGAATTCGTTAAATCCAATCAGGTTATAGAAGATTACAATAGGACGGACGTAACTTACTCTACATGACTCTAAACTTATAAGATTTTTTTTATAAAAAAATCATTTATCTTTTTAAATTAAATTTATTCATTATTAAGCTTTCACATATAACGACAGCTTAGGAGAAATTCAATTAAAATTATTAATACTTCTGCGTTTTTAAATACGTCATAAGAACGTCATAGAAAGTGGAAGCCTACGACCGGACCTCAATACCTATAACTTTCTTTTACGAATAGCAAAAATCTAAATTCAGTCCGAAACCATAAAAAAATAAACAGATCTATTTAATTAGAACGAGTACTTTTGCGAATTATTTTTAATCTTGTGTTCTGTTGAACAATAAATAATAGATGTTTAAACCGTGATGGTTAATATGAAAATTGTATTGTTAAGTAAATTGAATACATTTAAATAAATTTAAAATTATACAATACAATAATTTGATCGTATCTAGTAAATAAAACATAGAACTATGCGTGCGCTAATTACAGTAATTGTAAATAACGTTTCCTACGTCAAATTGGAGAAACCCATGAAACAAATAACAAACTATAAACAACTATACGACTTTATTTACAAGAAATAAACACATTTGAGGTTTCTAACAAGTCCAATTCGCATCTCATCAGACCGGTAATATATTGTTAATCAAATTAATTTACCTATTTAGTTCAATTCCATTCTTACTTCTTACTAATCTAACTTCTTCTTAATATTCTCTTCTAACTTCTTAATATAATATTGCTAGCTATTGCCAGCAAGGTCCAGAATTTAAAAAAATCTTAATTAGTAGCCTATGTGTTTTTCCAGACTATGTTCTTCATCTGTGCCAAATTTCATTAAGATCCGTTGAGCCGTTCCGGAGATACCTTCTAACAAACATCCAAACATTCGCATTTATAGTATTAGTAAAACAAATGCGAATGTTTAGATTGATGGATGTTTGTTTGAAGGTATCCACAACGGCTACATGGATCTCGCTGAAATTTGGCACAGATGTACAACATAGTCTGGAAGAACACATAGGCTACTAATTAAGTTTTATTTTAATTCCTCTCGGACGAAGTCGCGGGCGACAGCTAGTGTGTAATACTTTCGACATAGTATTTTCCAGAAAATAATACTAAGTCTTAGTATTGAATATTGTCAAATATTAAGTATTCTAGCATTTATTGAAAATACCGTATCATAAAATACGATCGGCCTTCTGAAACGGAACTGTAAAGGCGCTAATTCTGTTTATAAGTTTTTGTGGTCACATATCTATATGCGGCACAAATCTCGTAAAATTTTACGAAACCCAAATACGGCATGGGTAAAACGATTTACTTGGATTCTGGAAAATTCTTACAATACTCAATAAGTGGAAAATTATATAAACCAAGTAATTCAACTAAACAAATAAATTAGCATAAATTAACTAATTGTAATTATTTATTTTGTGAATGATATGTTTATTTTTAAATTATTTTACTCCATTAATTACTTAATAGTTTGTATATTAAACACTAGTTTTTAGTTTTTATTGCTAAAACAAAAGCCTTAAATCATAAGAGTTAGCTGAAAAGTTTTATGTCACGAATAAACTCCAAAACTACATACAGATGTGTCTTGGTCTCTGTCACCAAGAAATACAATTTTGCATTCACGTTCCAGCACGGCATCAAAGTAATCTGCCCTTTGATTTTGCAAAGACTCGTGCAATCGCATAAGAACAGTACTCAAAATGCTACAAAAAAACCAAATATTTCATAATAGATTTCCGTTTAATAATTATATTGAGCTAATGGTGTTATCACACGACCCTGAGTGCATCCATGACCTAATCTCCGGTCCATCCCCGCTACGTGACATGACACATGCAGACAATAAATCTAAACAATATAATAATGTATAATTTTAACGTTTCCTTATATCTATTGGTTTTGACGTCATTATATTGACATCTTTATCACTCTACTTGAAAAAGACAGAGACAACAACATGTATGAATACATGTGTCACATCAGTGGGATTGCACATTAAAACTTACCATTGTTAATGCTCATATATCACTGTCAACAAAACTGCTTATCCTCATGACGAATCAATTAGTCAGGTTTTACTATTAAAGACGGTAAATAAGACGATAATATTTTTCACGTCTATGTTATATTCGCTCTATTATAACATCCTGTAACTTCAACCCAGTTTAATCGATTTTAAAAAGTAAGTACAGCCGAACCTGGATACGCGAGAAACCTCTGTGTCATTGTCCTCCGGCAGATGACGTCCGTAAACGAGAACCTCCTTGCAACTTCGAGAGAAAACATATCGTTCTTTGGACGCTTACTTATCCCGGTTCGACTGTACTCGTATTGTATAGTTGGATTTATTCATATTTTAGGTAACTGTTGCATGTTATCCGTGGGTTTCCATTCACTGCTGAGCCACACAAAGAAGTATTTCCGTCTCTGTTTTTCTTTTAGAAATAAACTGAGATAAGAATATGACTTTCTTTAGCGGCAAAAATCCACGAAGAGAGGAAACAGTATTATTTTAAATTGATAATCAAGCAATGGAAAAAGATTTTAATATAAAGTATTCCGTAGTTATTAATTAAACTACGCATTTATTTATGTAATCATTTTAATTGTATTATATGATTATATATCTTGTTGAACTATAAATACCCGTAGACAAAACGTAACGTGAGATAAAACCTAAGACATTTTATATTTCACTGCGTAAATTCAACCAGACATCGCAGTATCTAATTTCATATCAATATTTGTAAAGAGAAATATTGTTTAACTTTGTATTTAAAAATGACAGTTTTACTACGCATATAACTAAGAAGATCATTTAATGTAATAAAGACAAATATCTTATATCTTTAAATGATCAATTCTTGTATATATGTATAATTGGAATCTCGGAATCGGCTCCAACGATTTTCATAAAATTTAGTATATAGGAGGTTTCGGGGCGATAAATCTATCTAGCTAGGAATCATTTTTAGAAAATGTCATTTTATTCGTGTTTTATCTATAATCAACTTAAACATAAAATTAACTTTTTCTATCGGTAAGATAGAAAAATATTATTCATATTTCATCATTTTATTATTAGTTCCTACTTAAATATAATTTCCAAAAAACACAATAAAAAAAATACCGGTCATCCAGGTTTTTTTATTTATACATCAAACTTACAATATTGTAATTTATTTTTAAATTTCTTTGTGAAAGGAAAAATTCCGACCGGATATAACAAAGTTGTTAAATGTTGCATACAAAATCAGCGAGGAAATTCCACAATGCCATATATCTGAGTCTACATGTAACAAAATATGGGGACTAAAGCAAAACTGGTTAATTGTGTTTACTCATGACTTGTTATTTACTATTATACGTCATCACACACGTTTTAACTTTTAATAGTACTAAGATTTTTACCCATTTAAACCCATATAAGTAATAAAACGTATTAAAATTTTGGTTCTTTTAGATTTACTCCTAACGATTAAAATTTGCATAATTTTTGTAAACTTAATTGCGATAAAAATTGTTTCGGACTATCAAAATTAATGTTAATTAGAAAAGCGAGTTTTAAAAAATAATAAGGTACACCTAAATTATAGTAAATACTCTGCTTTATTTATCAAAGAATATACAAATAGTTTAAATTGAATTAATGAAAATGGAATATCATCATAACTATCATTAACAATATTTTGGACTACTTAAAATGAATGCATCCACCAGCGAGAAAAAACTCTAATTGTCCAAAGCACATGTAAGATGTTCTCATTTTACTCTACTGTATACAGATACACATACATTCTATTCTGTACTAAATCTCAAAAGAAAAAATTCGAAAGCACATGTCATTAACCTCACTGCGTCTTGATGCAACCTAAGCCAAGATCAGACCATGAGATAAAAAAAGCTGCGTCATTGACATAGCAATTATATCAATAAGGTGTGTACGAACGACTGAGCAAAAACGTATGACGTCTATCGAGACCGGCGCGCGCGTCGCGCACTATTATAAGAATCGAGCGAATCTCCCGCCGGCTCATAACAAGTCTGATATTTACTGTGAACACACGTACACAGATCCTTCAAAATGTATACGAATCCATTTGAAAGAAAACATTCAGCGCTAAGGCAGGCCCTGGATCGTTTCATCCGGGGTGAGACGAGAATAAGCTTCAGGACTAAGAAGCCAACATTGAAAAACAACGGGAGCAATTCGTCAATTGGATCTGCAACAACAATGGACTTCAATACTAAATATAATCAGAAAAGATGAACTTAAGTGATGTGATTAGTGCCAGTGATTATAATTTGCACGATCCGTTATAAAATAAGGTTGGTATCATTTTATAAATTGAGATTTACTTTATTCTATCACTAGCTGTCTCCCGCGACACTTAATTAGTGTAACCTATGTATTCTTTCAGACTATATTCTATACGTATGCCAAATTTAATCGAGATCCGTTCAGCCGCTGTAGAGATATCTTCAAACACCTATCCATTCATCCACATCACATCCATCTAAACATTCGCTTTTATAATATTAGTAATTTAAATAAAAAGCAGCTCTTCAAGGCATAAATTTAAAAAATTGAATAAATAGTATCCTATGTCCGTCTACTGGCTCTAAGCTACCTCTGCACCAATTTTCAGCCATATCGGTAAAGCTGTTCTTGAGTTATAAATAGTGTAACTAATACGACTTTCTTTTATATATGTATATTATATTATAGATAACATAATTTCCCTTTAAACTTAATAGAAATAAAGCTTCCAGTCTATATTCAATCCAATATTCTATACTATTTGCTTTCCTCAATCTATATATTAAGTTTATTATATTTAAAGTTTGAGAGTAGGTTATTAAAGATGTTATATTATTCTTATAAAAAGATAACTATAGCTTATAAATTTTTGATAAAAAAGACATAAAATATTTAGCAATGCATTTTAACTATATTTAAATATAAAGTACCATTTACCTATTTTTATAAAACAAGTTATTCGCATATCACTTAAAGTTATTTTATGCAAATTTTAAAGCACATGGATGCGAAACTTAAACTCCCAACTTCATGACCATGTAACCCAATTACGTAGATTTATGCCTCTAATTTAATATTATTTAGAATCTTATAAAAACTAGTATTTTAATAAGAAAGAAAAATACTTAACACCATTAATCCCAAATACAGTGTGGAATATAAACAATTTAATAATCCATAAAATTTGAAACAATGTTAAAAAATATATTATTTTCTAAGAAAAACTATATTATTTTAAATGTATGTAAACGATATAAATATTAGTAAATTATAAATACTAAAATATTTCGCATAAATTCTCGTCAGCCATAAATATCAAATTTTTTATTATAACTAATATTTCTTTTTTTTTTGTCCACAGGTCGGATCGGACCGGATTCAATACTTTGACGTCAATAAGCTTAAATGGGGTCAATATTGTATCGTCATTAGTTTGGTCGATGGAAATAATACTTGAATGTATTAGTATTTGATGTTATAAAATATTAAAAAATAATCAAACAAATTACTTTGTTTCATTCCGTTATAAACAAATCATTAATGCAACCTTAATTAACTTTAAGGTTAATTACTCAGTTAAAACTAATCCTTTGTTTACTTATTTCATACAATATAACACTTAAACATTCTAACCCTAAGAAAAAGGGATTGAAAACACATTAACATACATTTCTACCACCAACGTGTCTAGTACTCTATCCGCAAAACTTGTGATAAAAGTCTCAAAGGGCCTAACACGAATATTTGCGACACGGATTTCGTAACATCTTCAAAACATATCAAAATTATCACATTTCTTGGTGTAGTATAAAGGGGCACTGCACAAATTTTAAATACAAATAATGTCGAAGACGGTACGAAATCTCCTCGTCGTCCTCAGAACGAAATAAATAGACAAAAGCAGGCATTTATATGGTTTTTTCAGTTCTATAAAGTATCAAAGTCTTGGTTAAAAATACTATTAAGTTTCAACTTAAGCAAGTTTACTTAAACAATACACCAAACAAATCAAACACCAAATCAATAACAATGGTAGAGCCCGCTTTAACATCTTCGCATGAATTGGCCCGGCTCGCCCGGTGAAACACCACGAAAACACAGAAGACAGGCGTGAAGTGAAAACAATTCCCCGTTTGGTCTGATGAGTGTCCTTCCCGGAGGCCTAATTTAGTTATCTTTCCCTACCCAGCCTTCTTCCTATAAGGAAAGGATGGGAAGTGGAAGTGGATGAGAGCATGCATGGAAAGGGAAGATTTTTTTTCTGTGCATCCGTCGAGTAAAGGTAGGCAACGCATATGCAAATGCGTACGTCTATGGGCAACGGTAACTTTGCTATTTCAGCGATTTCGGGTGGCCACTCGCTCGTTTGCCACCTTATGATATAAAAAAAAATCTTAGGTGAACGACTTTATGCGAGCCACTTTGAAATATAACTTTTTTACAAAAAAAATCGTCTAGTATTATACAATATAATCACGATCGTCTACATCTAAATTATATAATAAGCCAACGCTTTTTGTGAACGAAGTGAAATAAATTATAAAGCCATCTACAACACTCGTATGACAGAAAAAAACTTTATTGAAAGTTATTTTTAGAAATGTTATGAACAGATAAATTTTCAGACTCCAAACCTAACTAGTACATAGTAGAAATAGTTATTAATATATTATATACTAAATTACTCACAGAAATTATTTATATAAATAAATATTTTTAACACACAGTAATCTTTAAACATGTTAAAAATTATTTTAAGTGAATGAGATATTTTAAACAAGTCTACGACGAAAATAGTTTTGCTGTATCTATGTTTTGGTTTAGTATTTGTTTTTCCCAAGCTTAAAAACTTTTATAATCTCATTAAATAAGCTTGTTAGTACAATTTAGTTTCCTTCATGAAGAGCTACATAAGGGTGTGTTCACATCTCACGACACTAGCGGCTGACATACTTCGCATTCGCCACGTGTGAATACATCTTTAAGTTTTGATGTGTGCAACTTATTTAGCATTAAATTCTTAACGGCTACTCGATTGCCTCCTTCTAATGTATATTTTTGTAGCCTAAAAAGAATAAATTTCAGGAATTAATTACGTCAGATAACAATGCCGTCTGACTTGTAACAGACAGTTTGTTTCTCAAAATAAACCTTATTAAGTTTATTTAAAGGTTACAAAAGGGTACATCAGATTAGCTTTAATACAATTTCTGTTAGCAATTTAAAGATAAATCTCCCACTTGGATAGCAAATAATAAAGGTCATTATAGAAGAATGTTAATTAATGTAATGATTTATTTAAAATATTTATTTTACAATAAAAAAACGCTTGTTATACAGGAGCGTGTTTTAAATTAATCCTTTATAATAATAATTAATAATTCAAGCTTACAAACACGTGTCTGAGTAAAGTGGCTACTTCTTTTTGAGAGTATTAATAGAACAATAAGAGTTTAATTAAGTAGGCTTTATAAATTGTTTGACATAGTTATTTAATATTTCGAAACACCTTTGTACTCATAACCTTATCACCTGTCAGTTGACGTCAATTGGTACGTCAAGAAACAAAGAATTTAAGTAACTAAAGATTATGGTACTCCGCTGGCGTCAAAGTCGCCAATTTTCTAAATCCAGTAATTTCAGACAGGCGTGAATTGGAAGCAATTCCGCGTTTCGTCTGATGAGTGTGCGTCCTGGAGGCCTAATTTGGTCTTTTTTCCCTTCCCACCTTTTTTCTTATAAGGAAAGGATGGGAAGTGGAAGTGGACTTTCCGGATGAGAGAATGCATGGAAAGGGAAAATATTTTCTTTCTCTGCATCCTCTCCTCCGTCGATTAAAGGTAGGCAACGCATATGCAATTGCGCATGTCTATGGGCAACGGTCACTTCGCTATTTCAGCGATTACAGGTAGCCGCTCGGTCGTTTGCCACCTTATGATATAAAAAAAATCTCAGCCCAATCCTTGAATTGGAACTCCATTAGCTCTATTTCCACTTCGTTTATCCAACCATACATAAGACGGCCAGACAATAATGTATTACATAAATAATATTTATTATGTTGGTATAAATTAAGCAATCGCTAACGCAACTCGTTGATAACCTATGACATTGCGTTTCTGTCAGACAACCTCGGACGATTCCTTATCCGTGAGTTTTCATTATCTGGGCACTAGTACAAAAACATACCATCCCTTTCATTCCCTTTGAAATAATTGAGATAACAATATGTTTCCGTACAAGTCTTTCGGATATAGAAACTCTATCAATGGCGACGTCGCTCCGCGTGGCGCTCCATTTAAATTTGATAAACGCACGTTTGGATTATCTTATTACAACTTTATTTCTTCATAGTGCAAGATCATATTCTAAATGATTTTTGATAACGGCTTATACTAAACAAATCGTTATCAATAATGATGAAATTTCAGTCAACGACCTCATTTCATGCATAATATTTAATTTGGTATTCAATAAAATACATATACGGACCATATTAGCGATTGCTCTTTTGCTTTGAATAATAGAGTGTAAAGCACTTTAATTATCATCGTTTCAAGCTTCAATGTAAGTTAGAAAGAAGATCTTTCCATTCGCCTTGTAATATCAAAAGCATATTTGGCCAATTTCTTTAGGATTAATTTTTAGTTATATTTATAGGGATAATAAATAATGTTTGACTACAAATACGATCACTGCACAATGTACCTGTTTCCGGCGATAAACACTAACGTCATTACGTTTTATAGAGCTCCATAGAGACGTGAAATTACTGTCCATACTCACTTATTAGCTATCTCAGTGGCCTTGAACATCCTGTCAATCATCACTTATATAAAAGTATTTTAATGGCAAATCAGAATGTTTTAATAATACCATTCTTAATGTCAGAGTAACTTACTTCAGATTTCTCATTTTTTTGTGACAGAGTAGTCACCGATTACCTTGAAGATGCATTTACAGCTTCACCAGGCTTAAGGTGGGCGGCCGGCCAGCTTAGCCGAAATCTCGTTCAAGTGTAAGCAGATACGACCCAGAATATCGGTAACTGATTCTGTAAAGGAGTATATTGAAACATCAGTACATTTTTCCTGTTCCAATTGACGCAATATCTTTTAAATACAAACTATTATATGAATGCACCATCTTGCTAAGTTGTGTTAGGAAGAGACTCCGAAAATGAACCAGTGTATTGACTCAACAATAGCCTTACTAGAATGTCGACGTTTATGTCCCCTCACTATTCATTTTGACACTGGACTTTATAACGAAAGCACGTCATTCGCCCCAAAGGATTCTAACCAATGTTGTCTAAAAGTTGCTCCACATTTATCAATGAGAATCAATCAGGACGCTGTAACCATTCAGCGAGATTAAAGCTTTGACGAGAAGTAAAGCTACGTAACTGTGTAGTGTGCACACGTATATTGTTAATTGGAAACTAAAATAATACTGTCAGGATTTATAGAAACCCAAAAATAAATACAACTGTAATAATATACAATATAAATAAATAAATACAATTCTTACGGTGAAGGAAAACATCGTGATGCAACCTGCACATATTTGAAAAGAAATTCAAAGACATGTGTGAAGTCAAGCAACCCGCACTTGGCCAGCGTGGTTGACTATGGCCTAATCACCCTTAACTTAGGGTAGGCTCTGAGCCCCTCGGTGGGGACGTATACTGAGCTGATGATGATGAAAAATAAATCTGTAATCTCTGCCTAACCTTGTAACTTAAAGGCTTATAAAAAGTAAGTGTTTATAAAATTTATTACACAGATGTAGAGTCGAGCAGGGTAATTTTTAATTACGTATACAAATAGCATAAACGCATATTACCCGGTACATTATTTTATCCGACACGCCGGTACGCAGTTATCATTAGTGACGTTTCCATGGCTTTTCTTACGTAAAATCTTCCATAGAATATTCCACTATCTAAAAAGAAGTACAACAATGAAATTCTTAATAATATTTCTAAATCAGTCGTAAATAAATATCATACGTTGTTTGTTATGAGATTGTCTGCTACTATTTTTGTTTTTTTCGTTTACATACAGACTGTCAGCAAAGGTAAACGATCTGATAAAGGCACGTGAAATGACGTAGGATGCGGTACACCGTTATATGGAAACTTTTTAAAAAGAGACAATTTTTTTTAATCTGTTAACAAATATAACATTGATACTGCATTTATTTACTGATCAGCTGACACTCTGATGTACAGGATGTTTAGAAATGACGCATATAAAACTAGGTTACTTATACTAATTATGTTACTAAATTAGTCATAATAATACAATTTGAGTTTTACTTAAAGTTATGAATTAGTTCAACTATGAAGTTTCCTAAAAAATAATCTTTACAACAAAAAAAATTAACGTTAAATCTTCTTTCTTTAAATCAAAACAATTATGATATTTCGTGGTATATAACAACTTTACACATCCTGTATAGTATTAATTATTTTTGAAATTGCACTGTATATGACATAAAAAA